AATATTTTTCAGCAAATCTTTGACGTTGTAGCTTTCTCTCATTTCATTTATTTTCAAATTTCAATTCGTTTCCAAATGATTGAATCGAGCTGAAATGGAAGCGCGTTTTTTGAGCGATATCTTTCTGATTGAATATTTCAGTTGAATGTAAGAAGAGCACATTGATGAGTACATTTGCAATTCAGATTTCGTCGTTCCTTTAATAAAGACGTAAATTCGGTATTCTTAATCGACGTTAAATATCGACGTTAGACTCGACCGCAATTGATTTTCCAACAAAACATTTCGCATTTTGCATTTAAGCATTCCGATTGCAATCACTGTCGTCTTATTAATAAAACAAGCGAACAAAAATTAAATCTCACGAGTCATCGTTTGTTCGTTCGATATTCCCACTATCAGATCTCATCGATAACATCCGACTGTTTCATAAAAGTCATTCAAAGCGCTAAAATATTCACGAAATATATTTCATTTTCGCCTATAAGTGGCTGCTCTATGGCCAATGCTGATATTACGAAATGGCAAGGACGACAAAATTGCGGATACAATTAAGTATTTCTTACAAATTTGTGCACTATCAAGAAGCGGATGTGCTCACGAAATTGCTGTTCTAATTGTCGTTGGATTGACGAAAATTTTTCATTTCGTCTCTTTTTATGCGTCCTCAGTTGATTCTGAATAACTGACCAGCTAGAGTCTCTTATTCTAAAGATTATTCATCAAATTCTCAGCACTTCTTAAGCATTAAACAATAAATCAGTGAAATCTTTAAGGACTTAATCCTTTCGGATAACCGAAATGGAATCCAATTTGTAGCAAATGTGAGCATTTTTTTAAATGAAAAAGTTGGAGACGAAAAGGGGAATGAAATATTGATGAATTAATCATGTTTGTAGTTTATGTTAGGCATCAACCATAAAAGTGATTTGGAAGATATCAAAGAGTGAAAAAGGAGAAATTGTTATGAGTCGTTGTTTGCGAATGGAATAACTTGATTGTGAAGGGGCCGTAAGAATCACCCGTCAAGTTGTCCTACACGGGAACGCGTATGTATGCCCATCTGGTGCTTGTGTAAGATAAGCATCTGGTCCTATTTCTAAAACAATACTGTCATTGAAGTGGTGTCAAAACNGAGGTACATAATTTCTGTTTGTACAGTTGATAATTCCGTCGTTTCGCGCAGTAAACCAATCATTTTACCAAAATAAAATGATCCGAATGCAACGACTTTGGATGCTTTTAAGGACCTTATCGTACCATTGGGAGTCGTTTATTCTTATTGATTCTAAGCGCAACGTGGAACAATGCTAGAGCTCTTTACCGTCAGATCTCTAGCGGAATCCTGACTTCTGAATACATTAGCTGAATACTATATCTTCACAGAATGTTGTTACAAATAAAGGTCTGCTCAGAAAGATAAATCATTTGGGTTAATTTGCCGTATCAACTCTGTGTGATGGTCGTCGCATTTGCTCTCTACCCACTAAGATTGCTCTCTACCCATTGAGCAGCAATCGACATCGAAATCGAACGAGTGAACTTTCAAGTTCCATTGAGAAGTTTTTAATTTGCTATTTCTATTGTGTTGGATGGAGTGAAGTGTAGGTTGATGTGAATAGACGAATCAAATATTAAAATGTAAAAGAAAGTGTTAATAATGATTGTCTTGATTGACAATAATGTCAAAGTAGTTATGTCACTCAAACATTCTCATCTATTCGTATGAAATATTATGAATAACTTATCAAAAACTAGCATCAATCGCATGAGTTGTTTCGATCGAATATATCTCTCTCTTATTGCAACAGATTTAGATTCATTTAGCTTCGAATGATTACGCACGAGTATTTATGTTCCCTACAAAAGGACAACAACAGCATCAACTTCTATTCCTGCATTCACTATAACTATTTTTAACAATAACTATTTCCTGCTTTCACTTCAAGACATATTCAGTTGTCTTCTGAATATCCGCTTGCCAATGTTCCTAGTCAAAATGTTTGCGTTTTGATTGGAAACAATTGCGGAACGGTGTTTTAAAGTGAACCAACCATAATTAGGAATTTTAGAAGTGAAAACAGCTTGAATCATAATGATCACAATTTTAACTGATCATGAGTCAAATTTTAGTTCATTTGAAAGGCAACGTTAACGTTCGACTTGGGATAAGCATCACTGCATTACCATTTGTAAACACTATAAAGAAGTTCCTCTTCTAGAATCAATATCAAAACCGATATTTTGTCCTCTAATGCCCAATTTGCTCCTATTCAACGATCCTTCATTATTAATAAATCATGCACTCAGCCTCTACGATATAATTTCGATTTATTGCAAGTACCTTGAGGGTGTAACGACTGCAGAGCCGTTCAACTACTTTCATAATCACCACATAATAGGCAATCAAAAAAAATGGAATCAATAGCAGCAAATTGTTGGCGTTAGCGTGTCGAAATCTATTTCATATACTCAAACAGAGACGATTCTGTTTGAAGATTCTACGAAAAAAACGTACTGATCAGCATTAAAGTATTACTGATCTCTTAGAAATGATTTATTCAACATTTGGATATGATCAATTCGAAATAAATCTTTATTGGTATAAGTTACTTGAATGGAAGATAATAACTTAACGAGAAACCAAAAAAATGGTATTGCAGAAAAAAGACACAAGTAACATTTTTCAAGATGACTATGGAAAGTATCTAGACGGTGCTGGGAGTATAATGAAAGTTTCGATGCCCAGATGCAGGGTTTTTATGTAGTTGGTTTTAGTAATCAGGTCTTTGGCATAGCCCTATTGATAAAGATCGAAAAAACACTAAACGGATACATGTAAAATGGTCAAGCATCGTGGATGCATGAGCAATGGACTGGAATGTGATAAGTGGATTAAGGTTGAATTTGAATAATCTCTCATGTGAGTCCCTGTTGAATGGATGTGTTTCTGCAAGATACAACAAACACTTGAGAGATGGTGCTGATCTTCTTCGTGATCTTGTACAAGCTTGAGAACTTTTCAGTTAGTGGTAATTCTTTGTAGAAAAAAGGCGAGCGACTCGAGCGATTGAGCGCACGGAAGAAACGTGAATGGCTCGATTCTGGATCTGATCATGGATTCGTACGACTTTTTGCACCGGCCAGCTCTCGGTCGATCGTTTATCCGTTAACGATCAGATCAACCGTTCAAGACGTGTGCTCGATTCTTGGCTTCGAAGGACTCTATCTCCAAATCGGAGGTTTACATATAAGGTAAGTGTCCATAGAGAAGTTCTCTTTTCCGAACCCATTTCAAACTGGTGGCAACCGCTTGGTTGGCAAAAAGATTAGGGATGCTTTGCGCAAAGTGGCAAGTGCTACATTGATAACTCATCAATTACATTGATCAGCATTTGAAACAAGATATCGACCTAATAATCGTTAATGATTATTTGAGTGGTAGACGTTCTGTTAAGTGGCGATGATAGAAGGTTTTTTATTGTCTCAGATATTGCTTGAGATTTCAGGAGTTTACCATCAAGTGCTAGACCATTGCATTTACAAAATGAGATTCTCACATCGATCGGATATGAGCGTTTGCGTGAATGTATGGAAGTTGGTGATGCCACACATCTCACACACATTTTCTGCTTCTACATGGGTATGGATATTCTTTACGATTCATAGAAACTGCCTTTCTTTATAAGATTCTTTGACATAATGCTATCAAAAATCATATTACTGTCAAAGATATACTCAAGAGTTTAGTTGATCTGCACGCCGTGTCACAAATACCATCAGTTTCACGACTGATAGTTGTCAAGGAAGTAAAGAGTACTGTTCTTTTAGATTAAGTACGATTTTTGATGATGTTTTCAGACACACTCGTGACTTTTTTGGAGTTCCATTATTTCAGGATTACCAGAGCACGGTGCGTTAGCTGGAACGTCGAATGAAATTTTGGTAGCGAAATGTTTGGTTAGAAAGGGACGTCTTCTGCAGAAATGGAATAAACGACGATGCATTCTATATAATGGTACGATTCGAATTGAACATGGTAATGAGCAGTTTCTGGTCTTGCTCCGTCATTCTATCATATCATTTTTCGAGTGTTATCATCGACTGTTTTCTCTGCAATAAGGCAATAAACGCGATATCCATTAGTGAAATAACATTATTGGTTGATAGCAAGATTGAGTGAATTTTACTTGAAAGTTTCTNTCGGAAGCAAATGGTTTATGGTGTTGCTGATGTTATGCAGCCTGGATTGAGCAATCGTTTGGATTTTATGTAGTTGTGTTGATGTGATAGTAAATGAGATGTTATACAGAGAATGAAGACGATGAGATGCTGTTGCTGAGTCGATATCGCGTAGAGGTTACCGAAGGTAATAAAGGAAAGTATTTACGGCTAACCGATGGATCTCAACTCTATAACTTTCTGTTTGAAGCGATCGGTGAAATGAATCTGTGGCTATCTCGAGTCGTACAAGTAATCATTAAGTTCTGCTCATCGTGATTTATTGTTGATAAGCATGGTTAATCTCTGATAATCAGAATAAATCGCTATCACGTCCAGCAGTTTTTTTTTTAAATTCTTGTTCACTGACTTTGAATAAAGACTTTTTTACTTCGTATCTGGCAAATCTGTGTTTATCATGCTATTGAATGAACTAATTTCATCACAGTTCAGAAATTTCCTCTGATAGACAAAATTCTCATATTTCTTCCGATAGAGAGAAAAATTTTTTGCCACTTCAGTTCGAACTGCTTGATTTATAATTTCATCTAAACAGACACGAATCGTTAAGAGATGAGGATTGTTCTAGACTCAAATGACGCCAACCTGTGATCTCAGCGATCAACGATTGCTCTTTCTGCCGGATCGTCTCTTTTCGGTTGGAGTCGAACGCCATATTGTCTCGTTGAACTTAAGACGTAATTCACTCATTCTTCGACCCAATAAACAGGTTCATCAATGGTTTTTTAAAAGATTACCGACGCAAAAAGACACCAAATAAAAGATTTCTCCAGTTTGAAAGATCTGAGTGCTTTTGGTCTTGCTTATTGATGCCAAAGCCGTGCAATCGCTTCATTCTCAAAATATCTTACGTTTTAGATTCGTGCTCCACTTTTGGGTTGGCTTGACGATGTTCATCGATTGATCAATTTACGATCGCTGAATATCGGTGATAATGCACTGAACTCATTTCCGCCCACAATCACACGACTCACCTCATTGACTGAGCTGATTCTGTGTGGTAATCGAATTGCTGAATTACCGATTCAGATCGGTCTTTTGCATAAGTCAGTTCTTTTGCAATTTCTTTCCTAATGATTTCCTCGTTACATTCATATCTGCAATCTGAACTGAATGTTGATTTACTGATTGTGAATTCTCATTCATTAATGACAGATCATTTCAGTTTATCTCACCTCAATCTCAGTAACAATTGGTTAACATCACTTCCATTCGAACTGTCCCAATGTTCTGCGTTATCAGCGCTAGACGTTAGCTTCAATCGTTTTGAACAGGTTCATCGTTTGCAAAACAAACACATTTTATTACTTAGAAAATTTCATAATTTGCCTTGTATCCATTCAATAGAACGACATTTCGTTCGTCCACGCTAAAATTCATTCTTTGAAAGCATCCAATTTCATCCGTTCG